TGGAGTATTTATTGGAGGAACAGGCTGATCACCAAGACGGAAGAGGTCTCCGAGCTGAAGAAGAAGTGGCTGTTGAGCAAAGAGAAGATCTATCAAGGACCTCCAGAAGGAAGACCGGCAGCCGACCCATCGAAGAGAGTCTGGGAGCAGACGCAGGTGACGCAGGACACTCGGCCGCATTTGGGAGTGTCGAAGAAGGCCAGACGCGAGGAGGAAAATGACAGGTTCATCGGAGGGATGCGCAACCCGGGACGTGCTGTAGAAAGACTGTCCAGAGTTCGACAGGTGGGCATGGACGTGTCTCGCATCTGGGATCGCTTCATCGCAGACTTCCCGAGAGCACTGGACATTGAACAAGCCGGACATGGAGATCGAGATGATGTGGAAGTCAGCCTTGAAGCAGTTCTTCCAAACTCGGTCGTTCACAGACATCGTCCTCAAGGACAAGTACGAGTTTGAGTCCCCGCTGGACCCGGAGCTATGGGATGCCTGGTTGAGAGCTCAGCGGATCCAGAAAAGCACCTGGTCGAGTGGATCCGTAAAGGAGTCCCGTTGGGTATGAGCAAAGAGATCCCGTGCTGTGGCATCTTGCCAATGGCTGATGACCCAGAAATGGAGATGGAGGAGATGCCGGAGCTGGCGGACCAACTAGGGGTGGCCAACTATAAGTCCTTCACAGATGAACCAGTGCACGCACGAGCAGAGCTGGGGCGACTGGTAGAGGAAGGCTTTGCGGTGGTCCTCCCGACGGGTAAGGCAAAGTCCATGCACTCGCGAGGGATTGTCTCCAAGTTGGCCCTGCTGATCAAGAACAAGGAGGATGGATCTGTCAAGAGAAGAATCATCATTGATCTGCTGAGGTCTGGAGGCAACTCAAGATGCAGGGTACCAGAGAGGATAGTCCTACCCAGGGTGGTCGACGTCATTGACAGCTTTCGATACTTATGGAGCACCAGGGACCGCATGAAGACCAAGTCCAGGGATGAAGAGTGGGAGTTGGATGAGGACCGACCGGAAGGAGGCATCTTCGACTTCGAGATGGTCACGGCGGATTTGAGCGACGCCTACTGCCATCTGCCGGTCCATCCAGACGAGCACCAAAATTGCTTGAGCCCAGGGCTGCATCAATCCGAAACCCTCATGTGGGTCGCGATGTTGTTTGGCTTCAAAGGTGCACCACTTCTCATGGGAAGGATTGCAGCTTGTCTGGCGCGAATTTGGCGGTCGCTCATAGCTCCATCGGAGATGCAAAGTCAGCTATACATGGACGATCCAATGTGGATTCTTCGTGGGCCGACCTCCTGACGGAACAGGAACCTGGCGCTTTTGCTGTATACAGCACGAGCCTTAGGCATCAACCTGGCATGGCGTAAAGGATCACGGGGCTCACAGCTGACATGGATCGGGGTCATGTTTGAGGTGGTGCAGGCGGAAGCAGCCATCAAGCTGACAGTGCCGAAGAAGATGATGGCGGAAGCGGACCTCGAAGCATGGGAGTCCAGAGGCACGGTGAGCTTCAAAGAAGTCCAGCAGCTGACGGGCCGGCTTTCATGGATCGCTGGGATCCTCCCGCGTACGCGCTGGGCTGTCTCGATCATGTATGCTGTGCTGGGTGATGCCAAACGTTCTGAAAACGAGGAACGCCAGAGGGCTTCCAAGAGGGTCGACCAGAGACCCAAGGTCGGACTCATAGCAGTCAAAAGGCTGGAGCTCCCGAGGCGGTGGTTTGTGACGCTGTTCAAAGAGCCGGAGGCCTTGACCTGGCCATCAGGTTTGACAAGCATGGCATCAAGCGCGTGGTCACTCAGCACATCCCAGGAAACTGGAATGTGGAAGCGGACTGGCTGTCACGACCTCATGAACGAGGGCCCAAGCCAGAGAGACTTCTGAAGGTACCGATCAAGTCGTTCCCAAGGAACCTGATGCATAAGTCGTACCTTTCACCACCAGGCGTGGCCCCAAATCTGTGGGGAGCGACCGCCCAGCAAATCTCCGGAGCCTTCGAGCTGCTGTGAACGGATGATGACGAAAAGTGGTTCGTCGTCATTCTCGGCTTGAGGGGAGGAGAGAGCGAGGGGGGGGCCACTCTAGGTCGACGGACGGGGGGTGGTAGGGTTGAAGTGCCGGGGCACGGGGACTCTACGTCGTTCGAGGTTGCGTCAGGCTTGATGCTCGAGCATTCGCCGGGAGAGCTCATAATGGCTCAAATTATGGTGAGGCCACCTGACGCCTTGACGGCGGAGGACACCGCACTCCAGTGGTCCTACGGTGAGTTCGCGGTGGCGGCCGGGTGGATTTTCTTCATTCTGGGCCTCTTGCAGGGCCTCTGGACGGCTTTGCGGTGGATTTTCACTCCGCGGAGGCCAGGTAGAGAGGGAAAGGCAGAGTCCGACCGGGGGGAGAAAACTGAGGACAGGGCATGTTCACCCCGTGGCAAAACAAGCGAATCAGGGACTCCCAGACGAAACTGGTCACCAAGGAGAGAAAGCTCCAGAACGAGGCAGAGACGTCATCAAAAGGATTGGATGCGAGAATCACCGGGACGATCTCCAGAAGCTCGACAGGCTCAAGCACGGATCTTGGAGGCTATGGTGCAGCGAGCTCAACCCGTGGTCCAAGACTTGCAAGACATGCACCGCCTTGGTGGGGTGGGACCGGGTCCAATGCTGCGACGTGGATCCCGCATTCAATGAGCGCTAGGAGAGCATGGGGTCTGACTGGTTTTGCTGCGAGGGACCCCCAGAATTGCATGAGTGGCTTAATTCAGAATCGAGTGCATAGGGATGCTGGCCATTTTGGTGAGCAAGACAAGGCGGATAGAGGATCAGGGATCGCATATGACAGAGATCCAGAGATTGAGATGGCGGGGGCGAGGAGAATCGCAACAAAAAGAGGCTCCTTTGAAGAGGTCACATGAACATCCTGAAGGGCAAGGAGGAGTTGGCAAGGGCCAGACGCGAGTTGAGAGAAGGATTCATGGCCAAGTCGTCGAGGGCTTCCCAAAGAACAAAAAGAGAACAGGTGATGGCAATGGCGAGGGAAGCATGCAGCCGAGCGGGTCTTCCCTTTGGCCATCGAGGAGAACGTGGCGGCCGCGATCAAGGCAGTGGGCTGGACTTCGGGGGACCAGTATGTCAATGAGCTGAAGCTGATGCACATTGAAGCAGGCTGGGAAGTGAGTCAGCAACTCAACAAGGCCCTGGTGGACTGCAAGCGGTCGTTGAAAAGAGACAGGGGCCCGGTGAGAAGAGCGCCCGAGTTCAAGCTGGACGACATCGAGCACCTCAAATGGATTCTGGTCTGCAGAGGACCGAAGAAGACCATCAGGCCTGCTTTGGCCTATGCATGGGCGGTCGTGTGGATGCTGAGAGAGATGGAGGTCAGTGCGATGAAAGGGAAAGACATCTCAGCAGACTGGGACAAGAAGAGAGTCTCCATCTACATCCCCGTGTCGAAGTGTGACCAACAGGGCTTGGGAGTGCGCAGAACCCTGCAGTGCTGCAACGGCAAGAACTGCTACAGATGGTGCCCATGGAGATTGTGGACGGAGATGTGGAAGGCATTAAGGGGAGCTGAGAAGGAAGCCCAAGAGTTTGTGTTCCAGGACTCAGAAGGCAAGAAGCTCTCCAAAGCCAAGATGGTGGAGGGGTGGGCAACGGTCACCTCGGAGCATATCCAGGGCCACTCCGCGAGGAGATCAGGAGCCATGGGATATGTGAGGTTGGGAATGCCCATACAAGAGCTAGCCTTCTTGGGTCGCTGGAGGTCATCAGTGGTGCTCACTTATGCCGAAGATGCACTACAGTCCGAACCCGCCAACAAGAACCTGAGCGCCCAAAACCAAAAGGCAGTTGAAGAGCCGGGGAGATGAGATAGACATAAACCAGACTGCTATTGCGGGACCTCCTCCAGGTACTTCCTCAAAAGAAGAAGAAACGGTAAAGCCCCTGGAGGTGGAGAAGAAGTGCGAAGTGGTGGTGTCTGAACTCCCCAAGAAGCTCTGGGTGGCCTCGACCGCATACAATTCCAGAGAGCGCGTATGGCATCAGGTGGAGGACGCTGGTTGGGATGTCCCCATTGAAAGGTGGACATCAGTGTGTGGGTGGCCTTTCAGCAGGAACTCTTCGAAAGTAATCCTCAACTCCCAGCTGAGCTTCTCTCAGAGAAAGTGCAAGAAGTGCCTTAAAAGAGCTTGCGGCGTAGCCATGGAGGTTGGAAGTGCAAGCTTGAATGTAAAGAGAAATCAGGAACCTCTGCTGACGAACTAATGAAGACAAGATGGTCAGCAGGACTATGAATACTTCCTGCTCTAGTTGTCATAAAGGTTGGAAGAAGCATGGCATGGGAAAATAGAGACGAATCAGGACTCGTTCCGATTATATTCTACGTCACTTGAGCTTTGCGAAGCATATTAAAGCCAAATAATCAGCTTGCATCAACCTGAGAGGAGATCCTAGTTCAGACTCTAGGATGCTAAGGCTGTTGTGTCTCGTCCATGGCACCTGTGACCGGCCACTGGGAGAGTACTGATTTTGGGCAGGTAGTCCAAGCAGGATCAGCAACAAACTTCTCCAACTTCTGGGCAGTAGAGAGTAGTACCGAACTGATTTGCGGGCGATGATTTCATTGATCAAAGCCTGGTGGAACACGGCCACTCTTTTTCTATTTGTTTTCTGAACACGGCTTGTTGCTGCCATTTGGCACACTCCTCCCACACCATGCTGCTCAGGTTGGCTGCTGACATTTATGCATCCCGCGCACATTTCGTCCTGGAGCTGCTGCAGAACGCAGATGACAACGAATACGCAATGGGTGCGCCCAACTGCAAATCTGAGCTGTTGGGATGGTCAGACAGATCAGATACCTACAGCAGTGCCGTTCGAAGTTCTCACCTCGATCAAGACAATTTTGAGGTATGTGTCAAGACATGCCGTGACTATTTGTACTGTACTTGAACATGTTGAGCTTGGACAGTTGAGCTTCCCGTTCATGAAATGCTCACCCTCCACATCCCTCAAACTCTAATAAGATCATTTGATGGGAGGCTCGCGGGGAGCCTTTGTCAAGTTGACTTTGTCCATGCCTTGTTTCAATGTTTTGCATGCACTCTTGCCGAAGCCACATGTCCTCGAGGAGCTCCGCTTGGCAGTATCTTTTTTAGACACAGAACCGGCCCCATCGAAGCAAATGCAGCTTCTTGCTCCTGCCAGGTTGGTCCAGCTAGGCCTCTTTTTGTATGCCCTCCTCTTTGCAGGAAATTTGGCATGGACAATTCAAAGGTGGCAAAGAGGCAGCTTGACAATCCTCCACAGTCACTCCAGAGCACACGAGGTCCCCCATTCCAAGCGCGAACGAATGCTCAAGCGGCCCACTGATACCTTTGCACGGCCTACCGGGCGAAGGCTGAGGGATGCTGAGGGACAAACACAATTTTTTTCTTGCAGCACCTACCACAGGGAACTATCCGGTGTCACAGCGAAACCCCAAATTCACTCATTGGAGATCTAAACTGAAAAGATCCAGGACCAGCAAGCACTTGCTGGCACAACTGACGGAGGCTGTTCGTAGAGATGAAGTGGATGCAAGTGTGATTGGTGCAGCAATGCAAAAATGTGGACATGATCGTTGGTGGAAGCCTCTGCTAGAGGTAAACCGCATTCGCATAAACTAAACTGCGACATCAGCTGGACATTCTTGCTGAACAGCATACTCTTAAGTGCTTTGGCATCCTGCTTGAAAGATAGAAGCCTGAGCCAAGAAATCATGAGCAAGAGGATGAAAGCAGGGCTTGCTTTGGGGAAGGAAGTTTGGAAGAACATCCCTGCTCCCTCAAACGATAGGGAGTACAATATTGCTCTCAGCAGTGCTTTCAGCTTTTGCGCAGGCATTGGAAGAGAAGCTTTACCATGGGCGTCTGACATTTTACAATGGTCAGCATCATGTCCTTTCCAAGCGAATGTTATGGCCTACACCCCTATGTTGTCACTCTACGAGCGCTGTGGGTACTATACGAAAGTCGACGAGTTGCTGACCCAGATGGTTTCGGAAAATCAGATGCCGAACGAAGTTACCCTGGGTGATTTGATCAATGCCGCGGCCAGCTCATTTGATTTCAAAAGGGCTGACCAGCTGTGGGACAAGTTGGTGAAGCAGCACAGGATCATTCCAAATGTCATTTGTTACGTCGGAAAGGCCAAAGTGCACATTCTGGCCGGCAGACCCCTGTCAGCGATTCAGATTTTGGATAGGATGCGAGTTGAAGGGGTAGGTGCAAACGATACGAACGCGGCAGTTGTGTATTTGCAAGCGCTGCTGCTCACTTGCCATTCGGATCCCAGCAAGCCTCGTTTGAAGCAGCTCTCAACATACTTGGCAGAAGCTGAAAGAACAGTCGCCGGAAGGATGACAACAGCTGGCAAGCAAATGCAAGGGCAATGGTTTACTATGACAAAGTTGGGGCGCAATCTTGTCAAGTCTCCACGTTCTGTGATGTTTGCAGACCTGCTTGTGTACGGTAACGCGAAGCATGGTATGATGAAGACTTGGCCAAACTACCAGGCTGGCTCCCAGTACTTGTCCAAGATGGATCAATAAGTTTGAGATTGTTCAGACCAGCGGTGAAGTTCCGCAACCATTTCCAGACGTGCAGCTCCCACAGATGTCAAACAAGCTGAAAAGAAGGGCACTCTGACAATGTTGCAGGGTGCTTGCCGCGATTTGCATTTAGTAGAGTAGAGGCGGTCTTGAACTGTTGGTGTTGCTTGAATCTATTGAAGGCCAAGTTTCTAGAGAACCCACCGAAGAGCGTTTCACCAAGTCCCTTGCGCATGCAGGTGTTGAACCAACCGCCCGCTTTGTGTGCGAGGTGGGCGCGCAAGTGGGGCTACGTGGGCAAACGTTTGGCTGGTGTGCATCCAGAAGCTTTAGCGGCTTGTACCGTATTGCGCATGAAGCGTTCATGCTTGAGCCATTTTTTGCCATATCAGAGTGAAGAAGTGGCGATTTCTCTTCCATTCAGGGGCTTGGCTTCCACTAAAATGGCAAGGTGATATAACTAATCCTGGAATCATCGGCGTTTCTCTCGAGCAGGCGGGAGAAGAGCCCTACATCGCAGTGATCAACAATGAAGTGGGATTGACGGCCATAGAGCCCAGGGCTGGCTGGACAGGTGGACTAGACCATCAGGCTCAGTAACGAAATGAATTATGTTGGTTTGCCCCGCGGCAGCAGCAGGTAGAGACGGGTAGAGAGATGCAGAGCCATACAGCATCACACACCCGACCATTAGCATGACTCCGCAGCAAGGCACAAGACTTGGTCGGCATGTGTGCAATCTCCAAGTCTGCGAAGAAAGACAAGGCCAACGCAGACGATGTGCTGAGAGGTCCCAGTCCCAGTAGAGGTCCCTTGAGTCGTGACCTCCTTAGTGAGTGGGAGAGAGGGAGTGGGGAAGTCAGGGGAAGGAAGAACTCCGATGCCCCCCACTGGTGAGAAGGATCGAGCCTCCCACAGTCCATGTCGTCCACTAGGTTCCACGTGGTTCCACTAGGTGCGAGTCCTGATGGGCCCTAGTGGGGACATCCCGAAACCTTTCCTTTTGTTCTTGGGCGGAGCACAATGGCCGATGCCGAACGTCAATAATTGGAGGAATAGACCACCAAAACCTCTCAATTGAGCCTATATACCGTATGTATGATACGGTGTATATAGCGGTGTATGTATACCTATACATAAAGAGCATGTATATTGTTATGTTACATGCAAACGTAAGACTCCCACATGTCGCCTTGAAGGCCTATTAGTTGCTAATCAGTTTTGATCTGACCATATCTGACCTGGACAAATACATTTTCTGAAACACTGCCTGGAGCATATAGCCGATTTCTTTGTGTTCTTCTTAGCCTATCTGTGAACAGACCTTGAAGCGTCACAATGGCCGGTCCAGATTCACAAACCTCAAAATCCTCGGCGCCAGGCAGATCGGACGGGACGCAAGGGCATCGGCTTCAAGAGTGTTTTTGCTGTGCCTCGGCTTCAGGCTTCAAGAGTGTTCGGAGGGACTCGTTGAGGTTTCGGGAGCTTCAGGGAAAGAGCTAATTTTACTGAAGCTTAAGTATGCTTAAAACCGGGTGCGGCTGTCCCTAGTGATTTCAGGGTGGAGGATAGAGCAAACTTGGGTGACCATTTTGAATCCAATGCCAACTATACAATCTACAATCCTGGCACCCTTGTTATTTCCGAAGGGTTCCATTAGCATACGGAACATTATGGACATGTGGCGGTTGGTGTTTGATGTGCATGGACCTGCAGCACCCCAGTGAGAGGACTTTTCTTCGTGGACCCTAAAATGGCCGTTGGTGCAAGCAACAGCCCACCAAAGCGCATTTCGAGGGAGACAAAAGAAGCACGTACAATCACGCAGGATGAACTGCAGGATGAGTGGCTTCGACCTTATCCTTCGGACTTGAAAGAAATCAAGTCCGCAAGAAGTTCAATGGACAAACCAGTGCTCAGTAGTAGTCTCAGTAGTCACTAGAAGTTGATTGGGCAAAAGAGAGGCGCAAGACCTTGCGCTTTGTGCTGCCCACGAAGGGGATCTCCAGTAATCAGGGAAACACCGAAAACACCGCCCCCACTGAAATCCAGTGATCGATAGCTGCTGCCTTCGTTGAGGTCTCATTTTGCCCACATATTCTGAGTGGCCAGCTCCTCGAGATTTGGTGATGAGCCTGGGTTGCGCATTACCGCCAATGATGCAAACAGATGGCCTGCCAGAAGTGGTTGTGAACATCTAGAACGTGTTCCTTAACGTCCTTTGCAAACTCTTGGGTGCCCATGGCTGTCAGCACCTTGGAAATGTTGTTCGTGGCAGCAAGTAGTAGGGGTTCCACTTCTATAGTTCTCCCTCGTTGAAGGTCATTGAACGGTTTGGATATTTGCTTGATATTGTGTGTGTGCCGTCTGCGGCCTGTAAGGAATGGTTGGATGCCCTGGGATTTACCTACCTTCAGAGAGAGAGAGAGAGAAGGTGTTTTGGTTACTTTTGAGTAGGATTGGCAGGTCCAACTGCCTCCAAAGTACTTCAAGGGTTAAATCCTTTTCACCTTATTCAGCAGAAGAAAAGAACGTTCATTATCAACGGCGAACAACTTGAGGATTGAACTGTTGTTTGACATATAGTCATCCTGGAGTAAATTGAATATATGTGGGAAAAATGGGAAACTACGTATGGGAAACTGCCCATTTTTTCGGATTGGTTCGTACTCTATCTACCCCAGGATGGTTGTATATTTGCAAATCCACTTGAAAACTGATATGGTCAGGTCATTCCAGGCGCTACGCCAACCCGAGGTCGATACACCTTCAAGTTTGACGTGCGCCGAGATCGCATGGCTTGGGTGCCAAGTGACGCCTTGGTGGATGGCCGCTGACGGCGGCGGTGGAGCCTAAAGAAATCTACAGAACGCCTGCTCTTTCATGGGAAACTATGCGGTAGCTACATCTCCCCAGAGAGGTGCAGATAGGAGGTCTATGTACTTCTCCCTTTTGCAGGTGAATTTGCCGTTCGTTTTAGCCTACGTTATTGTTAATGGGATTGCCCGCGATGGCCCCTGTGTCTTTCTTCGGGATGCAGTCCCATGAGACGCAGGGCTACGTCATGCCGAGCTGGCTGGACGAAGAGGACTGAATGAAACCACCTCCTCCTCCCGTGATGCCAGTGGAATCGGACAGGTGAACGGCCTCATTCAAGCCTCCAACCACACAAATGACGCTTCCATGAATCATTTGTCCGTCTAAACGCCACCATTTCGGAACTTTCCAGCTTTGGGAACCACGGTCTGCAGTAGATGGATTCGACCGATTCCACCCCAGCTCCGAGACGAAGGCCGCCGCCTGAGACGAAGCCCGATATCATCCGATATCGCTGCTGCCGCTCCGAGTCTTCTGACGGAGCCGAACGGAGCGGAGCCCACGGAGCGGAGCCGGTCTCGCCAGGAGCTTCTGTGCTCCGTGCCCATGGAGCTTCGTCGTTTGCACCAGGAGTCGATGCTTCCGCTTTCGCGAGCGTTCCATGGGAAGGTCGGACCAGGTGGAGCATTTGAAACGGTGTCAGGTGGCTCAAACACTGGCTGACAGGCTAAAAAGGCTGGCTTTCCGAAGTTCTCCTTTGCCAGCTGCATGATTTCAGTTCTTTTCTGAACCTTTCTGCTCAAGATATGAGATGACGAACGTCACAAGGATTAGGGGCCCTGAGCCATGGCCTTTCCTCGTAACCTAGACGGAGAGTCTGGGTTTTCTCCAGATGGAAGTCACCAAGTGGCCTTTAATGCAGGTGATTTGGAGACTTTGGACATCGATGGGGCTTCGAGGAACTTCCATCCAGATGCTCAGGGCTCCAGGGCTCAGGCGTCTCAGCCCTCGAATCGGCTTTCAGCACTTTCGGTGACGCGTTCTGGAATGTCCACACAACGGCTGTCAGCGCCTTTGCAAGCTTCCGGGAACCCAAACATACGATCGTCGCTGAGTTCAGAAGGCCCGCAGGCAAGGAGATCGCGGATGCAGCAACAGCAAAGGCAACATGAAGTCGGTGGGCTGAAGGTTTTGCCCTCTTGCTTTGTGCTTACTTTGTCGAACCCCGAAATGAATGGCACCCTCCCTATCTCAAATCTAAACTGAATTGTACTTGTCCGCATGCAGGCAGAGGTTGGGTTGGATTCCTGGTCATTTTGCACTCAGGCACATGACAGCGTCCTTTCTGGAGCTCCATCAATTCCACGACGTGAAGACTCCGCGTTCGTCCCCATTGAGGATTGGGAAGACCTTGGTGAGGGGCCACTGGGCGCTGGTGGTGGGGTGCGTTCTTTTCTTAGCCACCTGAACGTACGTAGGGTCAGAACGGGTAGCACATGGTAGCACAGTTTCCTGATTGAGGGTATACTGTAAATTCATTAACTACCCGAAAAAGGGCTCTTTGGGAAGTGGTCCTGTGGTGGAACGACCCCCCCGGATTAGATCCCCTGTGACTTGAACCGGCACAGGCTGCTTACTTTCCACAGAGGGAGAGGGAGAGAGAGAGAGAGGGCAGAGAGAATTGCCACTACTTAATTGCAATGTCCGAGCACAAGGCTTTGCAGCCTGGAGATTGTAAATCTTAAAGGACACGACGGAAAGGGCAAGAACAGTAGCACGACATGCTGCGCCTGCACACTTTCGCCAGGATACATGGACCCGCCAGCAAACACAGGCAAAGTGAAAGCACAGTAAGGTACTGCACGAGGATCAGGAACACCTCAAGACTGACCAGGTCCAAAACTTCAAATCTTAAGCCAACAAAAACTGTGGCGATAGGACCCGGACAAAGACTTCAATTCGAAACACAACCTAAGAAGCAGCTCCAGTGGTTTCAGAGTAGAATGGCACAAACCCCTACATGTCATTTAGATGGGGGCTCCATAAAAGACTAACCTTTTGGGGGATTGTGCCATCTACTCTAAACCCTGACGAGTCGAGGCACCACTCACTCCTCGGGCGTCGCCCGAGGCGTGTGTCCGGTCCACCTGGCGGCCTACCTGGGCGACGCCACTGCGTTGCTGCTGCTGCTCGACGCGGGCGCCGACCCCGAGCAGCTGACGGAGGACCGGAAGGACGCGGAGGACGTGGCACTCCTGGCGCGGAAGGGGTGCCTTGGAGCGAGGTTTGGGGCCGAAGGGGTGAGGAAGTGAGGAAGTGCCGCAATTGATGCGGGTGCGTGTGTCACAAGACAGAAGCAGGAAGATCTCAAACATTGGAGAACAAATCCATACAAACCCTAGGCATTGCTAGGCTAGTAAATGTTTGTCCGCCGCGGGACGGATTTTGAGCCGTTTTCAATTGGTCTTCGTTGATCATCACTTCCCGATCGAAGGCCACTCAGCGTGAGACCCAAGCCATGCAATTTATATACGTTCAATTTTCCCGCTGGAACGGTAGTTCCCGCTCTGATTGCAACTGCAGCTTTCTGGGATGTGGCATCTGGGATGTGCGCCGTTCGTTGGTGAATGAACTCCGCTAAGGAGCTCCCACAACAAGTTCCTGCGTGACTTGGTGATGTCGTAGTCTCAAGCTGGCGTCCGTCGGCCCTGGCCCTTCCGCAGTCGCCCTTGACGTTCGAACCTTCTTAGATATAGGCAGTCCAACTTGGAAGGACCACTGGGAGAACTGGGTTGATTGGAGAACTGGGTGTGCCATGCAAGCATGCAACTTTAGGATTACACTACATGTGCGCCGTGACTCCTCAAACCAATGCGTCACCTGTAGGGCGTTGTGTAGGCCGTCCCGGAAGGAAAACCAGACATCCAACATCATCCAACACCTGTAAATCAATCACAACGGTTCGAGGCTGCTTTTTGTCCGCAGCCAGGCAGTAGATGCAAGATTGATCCACATCATTCCACAATATTCCACATCTTCAGGAAAAGCATGGAGAGAACAAGGCACTTATTATATATAGCATGAGCGGGATGCCTCGGGCCCTGAGTAAGTAGGAAGGATATGGAAGGATGTTCAACCAACATTCGAAAATCCATTGGTCCTTGGTGTCACACCGCTACGCCCGGGTTTGAGTGAATCACCAGGCAAACGGTATCAAACGATGATGCTCACCATTCCCGATCCTCCACTCCGTCCACTCCCAATCATTTCAGTCCGTTTGGCCGCTGAACGTCTCCATGGACTAGAACACCGACCTCCGCTCCGCTCTGTCAGACCTGCTCAAAATCCTCCCGGCGCACCCAAATCCCGAGAGAAGAGCCTCACGACACGGAGCAGCCGATTGGATCGCCCCCAACCGATCGCCCCAAACGGAAGTTCCGCGGCTTATTTCCAACGTGGCCCGGAGACAGGTGTGCTGCAAGCCGCGAAGGCGCGTGTGCTGGAGATCCAGTCCGACTACTGCGCCTCCGAAGCGCCGCGCCGGTGCCGCTGTCGCGACGGAGCCCCTCGGCTCCGGGGTGGGAGGATGGACGGTCTGACGCGGGGCGGGCCAAAGACGGATCGGGGGATCCAGAGGCAACTACACATATTATGTTATACATTATGCATATATTTATATTATAGATGTGTGTGTATGTGCATCATACAGAATACAATTAGATTGAAATCCTGTTCTTTTCCCTTTAAGGTAGCTTATGTTTGGATCTAAAGCTGGTGGTTCTTTTCCACGAAAGAAGCTACCGGAAGTGCCTCAGGGTTATCCAAAAGATGTGGCAATGTCGAACTGAATGAGAACACAACACATGATGAATGTTCGTGTTTGTTGACCTGATGTGGCAGAATGTGGCAGAGGAAGTAGAACCATCCAGTGGGGTCTTGTGATCTTATGGCCACCCTACGGAGATGCTCCAGGGTGAGGATTGTCCCAAATCAACACGCAAAGCCAGAGTCCAAATGGAACCAAACTCTGGTGGCTTATGCTGTAGATGCTGCTAATAGACATGCACCAGCACGTGGACATGCTATGCAAATACCAAGGGAGCTCCATGGTTATTTCACTTTGTGGGGACAGTGGGGGCCACTTCTTGAAAAATATTGAAGTGCGGTTTCATTGACCCAATCTACACTGCTTGTGGTTTGATCTTGAACTATTTCCACCGTAAACATGGGCCCCTTAAGTTGAATGATGAAACAAACCCAGTTGAGATAGGTCCCAGCCTTTCTGAGCCATACATCGTCGTCCCAGAATCATCACTGACTGCTTTAGGCGAGGCCCCTTGCCCCTTGTCATTGTAAACCCTTGCGGCTTGTCTTCTTCTAAAAGCTGCCAGGTGAGGAAATGTTCCCCCCTTGTTTGAGTGCTTAGGTTTGTTATGAGTGCGACCAGTTGCTCGTGGCCAGCTTTTGACTGCCGGGTTTTGGGACCCGGCATTGGCTGGCACCCTTCGTGCGCCAGCCGCCAGGCGCGGCCAGGCGTGGCCAAGGGCTTGTCTCACACCGGTGGAATGGCAAGCATGAGGTTTGTTCAATCTGTTCTGTATTGCGAATTCTCTAGCCTGCATGATTTCTTCCAAGTCGAATTCAAGGTCACCTTTGTTGGGAGGCATTTTAGATCTTGTGCACCGGAGTAGTAGCACCTGCTTGTGGCAGAGATCGGAACAGCTCCATCGGTGGATCCGACCCGAAAAGAACGACATGCCCACATCGGGCCCAGTAGATTGCCGCAGTGGGAATTGGAAGTCAATGGAAGTCATGGATATGTCCAAGGCTTTCAGGAATGTACCCTTCTATAACAGAACCTCATAGCTCTTAGATGAACTGATGGAGCTTGAAGCCGCTCCAGCAAGATCCAGCTGCGGTGGCCATGCTCGTCAACGATGTCCTTTTCCATGCTCGACGGCAGAGTGAGATGCGAATGCCAAGAGAAACCAGACTTTAGGACTTTATAGGGAGGGCATGTTCTGTGAGGACTGAGAACAGGTCTCGGCAATGGCGTGTATTGGTTCTAAGTCTATTGGTTGGCCTTCTTGAGACAAGGTTGGGGCCATCATGAGTATACTATATATATATTGTATAAATCAGCAACACTTTTGGCGGGTATTGCACCAGTAGGTCAAGCTACAGCGTGATGCCGCGCTCTGAATCAATTCGTACAGAATGACGCGCGCCATTTAGTCTCTTCAACGTGTTCAAGTGTACGCGTACTTTGTAAGGCGATCGAAAGGGAACATGAACAACCAAGAGCCATGAAATAGGGCAATGTTTTGCTGCCATTATTCTTGGCAAGAGGGCCTTTTAGAACGAGCCACAGCAGTCCGTTTTCTTTGACAAAAGGGCCCTTAGAATGAACACAAAAGAACCAGATATTGCAAACAAAGCCATGTTTGGCCGAGCTTGGACTCGTTGGGCGTTTCACCTGCAAAGACTTAGTGGTGGTTGACCACTGAACGAGGTGGACATACTGTGGAGAGCTGTTGCAAAGAAGAGAAGCGGGCAGGACCTCACTAGACAGGCCTGTGGCCTGCCAATGCAGCTGTGTGGCCCAAGAGAATGCTCCCATGGTATGCTCCCATTACAGCCGAAGCTGTACAAATTTAAATGATGGGTGGCGTGAGGCTGGAGTGAGGCGGACGGCAGACCACCCCAGACCTGGATTTGGTCTCTCTTCGCTGCGATGCAATGGGCACCATGCGCGCCACCGCTGCGTTTTTGCGCGATCGCTCGATCGGTCCTATGTGGACATGGCTGCTAATTCCAAGAGAGGCACAAGCTCCACAGGCGATCCTGGTTACTTTCAATTTGCCTCAAGAACTCTAGAAAAGGGGGACCCTCAAAGGCCTGATAGAAGTGAGATGAAGTGAGGTTTTGCCAAGCAATTCTTCCTCGGTAATTAGTTTAGCCGAAGATGACGAATTCTAGATGAGAGTGTGTCAGTACGGACTCAGCAGGTACTCTTCAAACAACATAATATTATGCAATTCCCTTGTTGTCTCGGTAGCATCCGTACACAATCAGCAAGGAAACGGTTTCTTCCTGAGTGGCTGAGCAGGAGGCGAGGTCAATCGCAATATGGAGACTCATAAGTGATCATGAGTGTACAGTATGTAGACCCTCATCCGGCCATTCCTTGCGCGAATGGATCTGACGACTGCACTCAACGTTCGAACGATGTTGGGGCTCCACATGTCAAGGGAGCTGAAGCCATGCCACATTGGAAGCTGCCAAGCCTCCACACGTCCATTGTGGAGCAACATGGGCATTGCAGATGCTTTTGCCATGTTTGTCCTTTCCAGCTCTGTCGGGAGACAGCGATGCAATGCCTTTGGGGCTCCATGACCGTCGAAAGCGTGTCGACGCTTCAAAGATGCCAGGAGGGATACACGGTGATTTTCCTTCCAATCGGTGACGCGTCCGAGGCCGGGGTCAACCAGCTGAAACTGAGACGCGCTCCTCCAAAGTTATTTTTTTACCATGTGGCTCTCCTCTACCAATTAATTGATATTAATTGTAGTATATAAGTGTGCCACCGTGAGCACCAGGTGTATATATAGCTGACTATATAGCTGTTAATATCCACCTGCCCACCCACCCGCCCGCCCGCCCGCCCACCCACCCCATATATCCACAACACGCACCGCACACTCATGACATGCAAAGCAACGTGCACGAAAACTCGCTGCCCAATATCAATGAGTCTCCATAGACAATCCTTTCTTTTGAGTTTTGTTTGAAATCCCTTTGGTTTTGTCTTGTAAGACTTCGTTTTTTGCCACAATCATAATGCACAGTCGAATGTGCTGGGAAGGAGATCCTCCGTCATAGTGGCTTTGTTACAGAAACATGTGCAGGAGGCCTAGGTGTATTATGGTGTATTACTGCTGTGATATTTTTTGAGACTACTTCTCCAAGTTTTCCCCCAAGCAACTGCTGTGATCGACTTTCCCATCCCGGCATGGCGCACAGCAGACGCACTCAGCCGAGCCTGGCGATCCTGGCATAGTCTTAGGTTATCTCGATTCTTTTCACATCCTGTAGGCTTTTGGCTCGACCAGTGTGTAAGTGTTCAATGCTTCCCATGTATTCAATTGTTTGGTGTGCTCAAATTGGGCTGCTACATGAGCCCCTTCACCCCACAGGCCTTGGTGAAGGAGGTGGAGGGCCACTTGGAGGCGACGAACTCGTAACTCGTGGGGTTGGCACGCCTCACGAGTGATCGATCACTGTGTGAACCGGGAAGGTGAGTGGTTTGTTGCAGAGGATGGGGAAGACTCTTGAGCGGTACACCCAAGAGAACAAACATGAAAAAGCAGCTAACTGAATTCAACCGGAAAAGGACGGTACTAGAAGCAAACGGCATCGCCACTAGGAACAAGAAGCTACGAACGGGGCTCCTGGCATCTCTACGAACGGAGAAAAGGACGCTATTAGGAGCTTTTTCGCGCGTTGAGGCCTTGGACCCCGCCACGTTGCTCTTCATGTGCGCCACATCGACTGAGCGAGCGAGAACCGGGCGAATCGGGTTTCGGGGCGATCACGTTCGGGTGGCTGCTTCGAGACGTGAAGAGGTCATCTAGCAGCAGGAGCCTGATCCGGAAGCTGCATATGTCCTCATGAGGGAGATAGAGCTTTTGATGTATGCTTGATATAGGAAAGTGATGCTCTTGGACTCTTGGTTTTGATTCGTCGCCCGACATTTTCATCAACCTTTGTTGATTTCCTTGATCCCGACCTGATCGATCTCTCAAGAGAAGAGGATGGGCCCATTCCTAGGTCCAAAAAGGGAAGGACGCGTTGGTACCCCTTAGACAATGTTCGGAACAAACACATCAATAGGTGGTGTCCGGATTTCTTGAACATGTATACATTCAAATACAGGGTGGCTTGCTTTGTGAGCTGCTGAATTTGACCTCAGGCGGCGCCTACAACGCATTGAGTTTCGGCGGGCGACATCCTTGGAGTTCAGTTGCCATTTGAGAGAATTCCGGTCGACCTAGCCATCGAGCCCACGGTGTGCACGTTGGTCAGATGACGAGGAAAGGGCGAGCAGACTCGACTTTTCAGTGCCGGAAGGTACTGTCCTTAAACAAATTCTGCGGCAGGTCATGTAGGCTCTTGATGAATAAAGCATAACAAAACACGCCATATGAACATTTATATACTGTAATCCAAGCGGAAGGGGCTTTTTATTGATCAAGAATCCACATATTGGAAGATCTTCAATGATTCTATGCAGCGCTTATGCAGCGCTTATGTTGTTTAGCAACTTAACCTTTAATCCGATGTTTCGCTGGGCCATTCAGGCCGATGGGAGAAGCAGCTCCATGCAGATCCAGGCTGCAACGGTGAGGTTCTTCTCAGATGTTCATCGATTCATTAATTGTGGATGCTTTTTAACTTAACTAAGAAGGGACCAGCATTGTTTGTTTACTTTGCGTTTTGCAACTCTTGGTGTCGAAGCAAACTCTTTCTTCAACATGTGTGTTGATGCGGGTCGGAAAAGACATCTCTAACCCTCCCGTAGTGTTTGTATTGGGCCTTGTGCAAGTGAGGATACTTAATTATTTGAACTCATGATCCAAGCAAGAATGGAAGTTGAAAACCGTTTGTCGAGAAAGTCATTTTCCAAATTTCTCCAAGAGGTGTGCCCTTTTCCACTTCTTGATTGTTGCAGACAGAGTACGGCGTTGGAGAACTCTGACATTTTTCGTTGAGCCGGTAACGGAAGGACTTTTGATTGATCAGACGCCTCAGGCCAGAGGCAAAGCGGAAGGTGTACAGCATGAAGCCGTGCAGATGCTCACGGAGGTCGGATGTCATCGTTTTGTGAAACGCTCACCGGAGGCGATGTAACTACCTGAGGCGTTTCACATGATTCTCCTCCAATGGAGGTGGTTTGTCGGTTTCTATGTTGGTGTTTCTTGGTGATTTGGAGAGGATCACTGCTAGAATCGTATCTATCAGATCAGACCATTGGTCGACTGATTGCATACACGCGTGAGCGTATGACGTGAGAGGACAAGGGGTACTTGGGAGGGCAATTTACAAGGGCTATATAGATCCAAAAGAGATGATCATCTCATGTATTGCAATGTTATTTTTTGTATATAATCCCAAAAGTTATGAGGATGTGCAAGGCTGGCTACGCAGTAGCAACTTGTATTTGTATTTGTTTGGTGTGTGTGCACTCCGTGTCAACAGGCTGGCACAAGCGGCGCAAGTGGCCCAAGTGCAAGGCCAGCTGCAAACCCGGTCAACTCTGGTGAAACCTGCATGTGTGGGATAGTGTTTGAAGCACCAGCTCCATCCAATCCAAGATTCAGAAATCCAGATCCACTCCCAAGCGCAGCTCAAGCTTGGAATTCGTGTCCTTCCCTTTTCCGTCGCTTTCCGCCGCTCCATTTGTGTGGAATTTGGCCACGAAGCACGGCGCGTTTCAGCCAACGCAGCACCCACGGCACCTACGAATCGCTTCAAATCCACCGCTTCAACACATCGACGGACGTGGAGCATTCCATCCCCTGCACATCGGATGTTC